CATGAGGTCACAGGCTTGAGTCCTGGACAAGTCCCCAGTGTGTGACACTGGTTTAGTGCAAAAAAGAAGCGGTCCATGCACCGTGCTGACAAAAACACAGTGGAATTCGGAGCAGCAGCAAAGAGATGTTTGTGCTGCACAGTCGATCTACACTGTGCAGGCTGAATCAGCAGGTATCACTAACTAAACCAATAAGGAAGCTTTTATTGGCTGAAAGGCCACGAGGGACATGCATTAGCGAATCATCATAGGCTGTCCTCCAGGCAGCTAACAGACCAGACCGTGGGATGGGCGTCGCACACAGTCTGCAAAAGGTTCAAGTTGAATGTCAGAAAGTGTGGCGGCGTCAGCAGGTGGCTAACATCGTCATCGCGTGTCCATGACCCTCGGCTCAGATTAAACCTGTCCCCGGAGCAGCAGTCTCTGGACTCTGGTCTCAGACGGGTTTATTTCCCAGCAGCACCGTCGCAGCTTATCTCTCTGACTTCCTTAACTACATGAACCTAATCTGAGGTCACTGATTTGATGCATTATAAATCAAACTGCTCACAAACAGCTAACCGTCTGATACCGCCTGTGAAAGCAGTTTTTAAATCATGCATTTGTTACAGATTAAAGCTGCACTCAGAGGCGTGTTATCAGCAGCACGTACTGATACAGCAGCAGTAACAGGACATGTTATGGAGGAGCTTTCACTGATCCTGATGATCACAGTCCAGCTACGGCTGGTTATCAGCTGACTCAGTGTGGCTCCTATCCAGCTGTTTTTAGCACCGCGCCTGCACAACCTCCTCTCTTTGCTGCTCCGCTCTCGTTGTTTTAATGTCTCGGTCACAGAAATTAATATTTTCAAAAAGCCTTAAAATAGTTGTAAAGCTAAAGCAGACGGCTCTTTGCAGTTTGTAAATTATAACTTTTAAGATATTGATTTTTTCTGGAACATCTCACCCAGATTTTCAGTTTTTCAGAATCAGACAGACTTTGAGGGAAACTGAGGTTTCATACCTACAAACATCCAGCACTCAAAAAGTGCAGAAACAGAGATATCAGTAGATAAAGACAGAGGTGCGTCAATAGACTCCGTTCGAGTTTTTGTTGCTCCTGTTTGAACTGGAACTGGCAGGTTTGATTCTGTCAGCCCTATCCTCGCTGACCTGCACTGGCTTCCTATCAAATATTGATTTAAAATACTATTGCTCACCTTTAAAATTACACACCACATTGCTCCCAGCTATCTTGTTGAACTTCTCAGCTTCTACACTCCTAGTAGAGCACTGAGATCTCTCAGGGCAACCACGGGCACGGTTGAAGACCAGAGGTGATCGCGCTTTTGCCACAGCTGCACCCAAACTCTGCAACAATCTTCCTACTGCACATTTTCACTGCGCTGTGGCTGATTAGTGCTCTCCACCTGTTGGTGTATTTATTCCCTGTTAATGTTCCCTTTCTATAAATTATTGTATTACTGTAAAGCCCGTTGGTGTACCGCTGGGTTTAAATGCTATACAAACAAAGTTGTACAAATATTAAGTACTTTCAGGTATTTAATATTTGTACTTGTACTGTATGTGTACTTTCCAGCGCATGCAGTATTCCTACTGCAGTACTGGCTGTGAGCGCTGCAACTTTGAAACTAAATTGATATTAAAATGAAGTTGTCATGGTTACCGGTGATGGTGGTGAAGTGGGACGGCGAGGTCATGGTCAGCATGGGAGGGGTGATGTATTTGGCCTTGACCCCGTCCGCAGCCAGCTGGTCCAGGTTCGGCGTGTCCACGTCCTGGTCGTAGTCCCACCTGAAGCCGTCGAAGGAGATCAGCAGCAGCTTGTTACTCGTCATCGCCGCCTTGCTCAGAGGCTTGGCGGCGGCGCAGACGACCGCCGTCAGAACCAGGAGGAGCTGCGGCCTCATCTTCATCTTCACTCCGACTGACTGCAGCTCGGAGTGAGGCCGTAGCTGCTTTACCTGTCCTGCACACCTGTGGACCACCTGGTTAATGTGTAACCGTGTCTGATAGAGATCAGCTGACATGTGTGAAGCACGAAACCTTGGAGCCACTTATCAGGACTTGAGCTGACCTTCTTGAATCGGCTCTGGCTGAAAACCCCATTGCAGAGTAATTATTATAGTGTTATTACAGAGTCTGAAACCAAAGTGCTTCACCTGTACTCGTGAACTGATAACAGAGCCAAATGCAATAAAAACAGAATAATGCACAATGATAAGCAGGAAAAAACACCTTTAAATAAGTGTTTAAATAAGTGTTGGTGACGATGACGTGCATTACAAACTGTAGAATACAATAAAAATGTACAGTGAAGCTGCGAGGAGAGGAGGCGTGATTTCTGACAGAAGGAGAGCGAAAAGGAAAGTTTAAAGACCGAGAGGAGACCTGCTGTGAAGGTCTGAGCATGCGCGGAGGAGAAGAGGAGCTCAGAGGTTCATGGATGGAGGCAGGAGGAAGAAGAAATCAGGACAAACGCGAACTGACTATTTCGTCCTGCAGGGGGCAGTAATGCGCCAGTGGAGCCGCACTGACAGCGGAAGGATTTCCGGGTTGTTGAGAGGTCGTGGTGCTCGTGCTGCGACGTCCTCGATAGATTTCACTGGAATGCCGTCAGTACTTTGACATTAACCGGTCAGAGTTCCGATTCCTTCCGCCGGTGTGGAGGCTGTTTGTCCGGGAGTCTCAGCAGGTGTGCGTGGAGCGAGCAAACTTCCGGTAACCCTGTGTGTGTGCGCGTGCGTCCTGAAGCTAGCCGATGTTAAGCGTTAGCCACGCTGTAGTATAAACATCAGCGCGTGCACAGGTGTGCTCCTTCCACAGGAGTTTAGTGCAGGGGTGGGCGACTCCAGGCCCCGAGGGCCGGTGTCCTGCAGGTTTCAGATCTCACCTTGGGTCAGCACACCTGAATCACGTGATTAGTTCGTTATCAGCCTCTGGAGAACTGCAGGAGCTAATTTAGCCTTTAAATCAGCTGTTGGATCAAGGACGCATCTAACACCTGCAGGGACAGGGGCCCTCGGGGCCTGGAGTTGCCCACCCCTGGTTTAGTGGAACAACTGCGCGCGTTCAGGTTAGTTCTCGTGAGTTTAACAGACTGCGCTGACACGTGCACGAGGACCCACCGAGAGCTGCGTGCTCGCGCGTAAAAACAGGTTTAATCTGCAGTAAAGAAAGAAGCCACAGAAAGCTCGTGTTCTGCTGCCAAGATGAACCTTTTAGTTTCTTTTCAGCTTCTTTGTAATCAGATTAATTCATGTTTCATGCAGGTTAGATTATGGCAGACGTTCCCAAAGTGTGGGGCCCGCCCCCTAGGGGGGGCGCAGAGCCATTGCAGGGGGGGCGCGGCATGAAAAGGGAAAAAAACCAAAAACAACAACGCTTGGACACTGCTAGCAGGGCGCCCACACAAAGGCAAAGCAGGAGATGAAGCATCGCTGAATATGTTTCCAAA